CCATCAAATAGTAAACTTATGTAAATTAAGACAAAATGTATGTAAAATTTATTGTAGGTTTGTCAAAAATCCAGCCGTCCAGGTCCTGGGAAGATATGTTATTCCACATTGCTGAGAGTATATATGGGTATATTAAGATTGCTAGAAACATTCCAAAAACAAAAGAAATAATCGTGCGCCACCATGTGGCGCACGCCGTCCGTTATGGGTTCACATATTGAGGAAGGCGTCGCAATCCATAAATTCTGGCGGATCTCATAAATTGCACATTAGGTGTAAGCTGAGGCCGGCACTAATCAGTAGGTGGTTCAGATGATCTAATTCCTGATCATGAAGCCGCGGGCGGTCGGCCAATATTTCAAAAAAACGGAGCAAGTTCATTTTTCATGAGCAATCATTCAGCTTTTCTACATGTGTTATGACTCTGGCACTTTTCTAAAGGGATAGCTGTTTTTTCTGCGATAAGGGTAAAATTACAATCAAGAGGTGTAAGAATGCCTCATGGGCTCCTTGCGACGACACATCGCATTATGTGCATAGCCAGATTACACATTGTAATGTACAGAAGATAATCAAAAATTATCCATTTTTTTCAGTGAACATCGTGGCAATAAGCGTGCTGATAGAGGTCACGAAGGCTCCGGAAGAGGGCTATACTGCGACGATGACCCTGTGACGAGAGACAGACGTGCTGGGTTCGACAATTATGAAGAGCCAAGTTACCCGCCAAACAGGCGAAGCAACGATTTCGACAGAAACGAGCGTGATGGCGGCAGAGAAAATTGGGGTTTTGCGGATCGCAAACAAAATGATGACAGACGTTTTTCTCCGAATGACAACCGCGGTAGTGGATATGGTGGCCGCGGCAGAGGAGGTAGTAATGCCTCAGGTGGATATAGTCAGGAATATCGTCGTCGTGATGGTTTTGGATCATCTAAAGGCAATTTTGACCAAGACGATGAAGATGGAGAACCTTTTGGTGGTTTTGGAGGTTACAGGAGAGATGGTCAAAAAAGCACTGGATTTGGTGACAGAGGGAGACCTCAACCACGTTCTTTCGACGATCGCAGTGATGATTTTGATAACCGTGGCAGGGACCGTGATAGAGGAAATGACCGAGGACGTTCTTTTGGAAACAGGAAGAGCGGCTTCGATCGTGAAGACCAAGACGAGGACAGTGGTCGTTTCAGCAACCGTTTTAAAGAGAATGATGACAATTTCGGTGGTAATCGACGAGGTTCTCCTAATCGCAGAGGTTTTGGAGATAGGAACGACTCCGGCTCGTTTTCTGGAAGAGGTTAGCGCCTTCACTTTTTTGCCCTAATCGGCCTTGATTCCAAGCTTTTTTCCAATTCTTGAAGCAAAATACGATTTCTTGGTTCCAAATATACTAAAGAACAAAACGAGGCAGCGGTGCGCGATCATTAACACGTTGACGACAACGCGCGTTTTGGCTTTTTTGGCCGCGTGGGACCGGCGGATTTTGCGAGCGCGCCCGCCTCCGGTAATTCAAGCGGATTTTGGTTTATAGATGCACAAAACAATGTCTGATCAAAAGCAATATCGCTACCTTCCAGCGTGCAGAAGCTACCCAGGAGAACAGTAGAGGAAATTCCATCAAAAGACGTGAAATAACAATGAGAAAAGCAAAGTTAGTCAAACCTAGCCTACAATGAATGCTAAAAGGAGTTTTGAATTGATTGTCTCGATCAAAACACATACCTTGCAATCCCTTAGGTTCCACATTTACTTCTTCTACTCTTTTAATTGTCACATTAATGAAAAGAAAAAATAAATGAGAAATTAAATGAAGTAAGTGCGTTGTAAGGTATCGGGAATCTTCGTCTGAATCATGACATACGTGAGCATTTTGTGGGCCACTATCTTGGTAGCTATACTAAGGTTTCTTCCAAATGATATGTACGAAAAACTAAGAAAAGAATGGCGCGTGCGCGGAAGAAAATGAATTTATTGGGCGCAGGACACATACGTCCCGCGCTGTCCGTTATGGCCTGCAAAGTGCGGGACGTATGTGTCCTGCGTTGTCGTCAACGTGTTAAGATGTGAGACGTATGCGACGCCCCACTTACAAGGAAAGGCTCCCAGGTCGCCATGGCCATTCAAGAAAGATGTATACCACTAGATGTGCCTTTGAACGCTGATCTCAAATCTACCTTCCAAATCTGCTAAACGATTCTCTGAATGGAGTTATGAAGCAAAACAGCGCAACGGCAGTGGTCGGGATTTGCAGTCAAAACGTCGTAGGATCGGCCCCTGATCGCGCTACTGTCTTGCGTTTTCATGATTTTAGGCTAAATAAGCGATCAAAACCTTTTAGCTTGCTGCAAAAGAAGACAAAATAGTAGGCGCAATCAGGGGCCGTCCTACGACGTTTTGACTGCGAAATCCGACCACTGCCGTTGCGCTGCTTTGCTTCATAACTCCATCCGTTTAGCAGATTTGGAAGGTAGATTTGAGATCAGCGTTCAAAGGCACATCTAGTGGTATACATCACTTCTTGAATGGCCATGGCGACCTGGGAGCCTTTCCTTGTAAGATTTCAGTATATGTGCCCAATGTATGGAGGAACACATAAGATTTTAGGGGGGGGGGCCCTATTTCTACCCGTCATTGATTTTCTGAAACATGCAAATCCCTTCATTCGGTTCATGGATCCGACAGTGACACTCAGAGAAATCCCCTCCCCCCCCCCCCGCAAAAAAATCATGATTCAATTCGAACCCATAAATCACTGGCTTGAGACGTATCGTTCACGGCAAAAATGAAAAGAACTGATAATTGTTTGTTTTGGTAAACAGTTGGAAAAACGTGAAAAGGTCTGTTACACGATACATCTGTCTTTGATGCGGCTTTCGGGAATGCTTCCACTTGATTCTAGGAAGTCTTTTTGACCTTCTGACTTCTGGCTTTCCTGCACGGACAACGTGCGATCCATCTGTGCTCTCCGCGCTTCAATTTACTCGGGCGACGGCCTATTATTCTCACACATTACAGAACCAGGATCGAGGATTTCCTTATTCACCCTGATTGCATCAGTGCGGATGAGCAAGGATGGGGTCCCATTTCTTAGGTTCTGGGCTTTTTATCATGGTTTTTCTTCATCCCGCACCACTGACACACTTTTGTCTTGATTTTAATGGGATGCCTTCTAATCGTAATTTCGGTCGTCAAGATGAGAGCCGATTTAATATGAAGAGTAGGTGCTCAAGTGGAAATGGCAAAATTAAATACAAAGGGCGTGGATTGCTGTGTGGGATTGGATGCAGAGTTTGATGAAAAGTTGAGGTGTTGAGGGAGCTAGGAAGAATTAGGAGGAAAGTATGAGTTTTTTTTTTTTTTCCCAGGTTTGTATGTGAATACGAGTTTCCTTTATTTAAAATGAAAAGACGTGAGTTCTTAGAACTAAATGAAAAACTACAGGAGGACGATTCGGTGCGGGTGAATCAGGCAGAGGAGGACGATTCGGCGGAGACAGCTCAAACCGAGGTGGACGATTCGGCAAGAGTGGTGGTTGTAAGCTATTTCAACATTTCACCAAAGACAATATTTTGAATGGAACAGTTTTTTGAAATGCAAAGCTCGCCCACATGTTCTCCCAAAAGCGTTAATTGGTTTTGATGCGATGCTTTTGTGATGCTTGTAGCTCTGCGATTCCTTTGGGTGTCCATTTGTCCTTCATCGTCCAGTATG